TTCAATAAGAATAACGGTCAATACCCTAATTTTATACGATATATTTTTCACACTTTACTATTCTGAGCTTTCTATACATGTATATGTATAGTTTATATCAACGATAATAAATTAAATAGAAAAGCAGGACGTACATGTATTCATTCATCGAGATGAGAAATGACTACAATAGCTGATAGCAACATAAGAATATTTACAATCATTGGGCTCTTATCTCTCGCTATCATTGTAAAAAAAAGCAGTTTTGCGAAAACAAATAATACATATCGATATATAATAGATAGTTATATGTGCGAAGATGAAAAGTGATAATTAAGTCCAAGAACCCTGGAAATATGATCTTCTGTAGCCAATTCTTTCAATGTATTGCATTGTGAACTATTTAAATATGAGATAACATACAGTATTCAAGAATGCAAACATGAAATAAAACAAATCGAGTAACAATAACTTTATTTTCTCAACGTCAAATGAAACATGTACTATAGCATGTGTTATCAACAAGTATACCGATAAGTAATTATAATGCAAACATAGCGTAGATTTCTTTTTGTTGTTGTCAGATGATTATTAATTACATGTATCACGATCTCTTATAATCATAGCTTCTTTCATTTACACTAATTAGGCAACAATGTTAATACCATAATTATCGCAAAGCAAGCGCCTCGATACAAATTAGGTTTAAGATAGCAAGTAACTCTATCCAAAACCGTCGAAGACACTAGCTGAATTTCTTTTTGATTGTTCTAAATAGCACTACAAGAGCCTTTTCGAGCGCTTAGCGAACTCCTCTTTTTGTAAAGTTATTCAGTCTAACTTCTTTCTCTGATTTATTTTCTTTAGATCTACCATCTTTAGAAGGTATTACGAACTAATTTTCTGTTTCAATAAGAATAACGGTCAATACCCTAATTTTATACGATATATTTTTCACACTTTACTATTCTGAGCTTTCTATACGTGTATATGTATAGTTTATATCAACGATAATAAATTTAAATAGAAAAGCAGGACGTACATGTATTCATTCATCGAGATGAGAAATGACCACAATAGCCGATAGCAACATAAGAATATTTACAATCATTGGGCTCTTATCTCTCGCTATCATTATAAAAAAAAAGCAGTTTTGCGAAAACAAATAATACATATATAATAGATAGTTATATGTGCGAAGATGAAAAGTGAAAATTAAGTTCAAGAACCCTGGAAATAAGATCTCCTGTAGCCAATTCTTATGTAAAACTTCAATGTATTGCATTGTGAACTATTTAAATAAGAGATAACATACATATTCAAGAATGCAAACATGAAATAAACAAATCGAGTAACAATAACTTTACTTTCTCAACGTCAAATGAAACATGTACTATATTGCATGTGTTATCAACAAGTTTACCGATAAGTAATTTATAATGCAAACATAGCGTAGATTTCTTTTTGCTGTTGTCAGATGATTATTAATTACATATATCAAGTCTTTTAGCACGATCTCTTATAACCACAAACTAAATGCTTTGTCATAATTTAAATAATTGTATCTTTCACTTCATTAATTAGGCAACAAAGGTATTACCATAATTATCGCAAAGCAATACAAATTAGGTTTCTATCATTTAAACTTGCATGTAGATGTCATGTAATTTTGATAAATTAGGTAAGAGTATGATCTAACAAAGAACGATAAGAATTCCGTGTGAATGTGTAAAAAAAACATTTTAAATACTTATGTATTTTAATATTTTTCTTAAATCGCGTCTTCAAATATGTTAGATGTGTTGTCTGATACCATTGAATTCGAGAAAAAAAGACCTAACTTTACTTCTTATAACGATGATGAAAAACAACGACGGCAATTGCAATTTTCTCAAGAAACAACACTGAATATTGATGGGGTGGTAAACCCTGAAATGTTACATGCGCATTTAATTTTGCTAACGAAATTTAAAGCATTAGAACAATCTGATCAAGAGATGGATGACCGTTATTTATTGCGAGCTGAGCAACGATATATTGCATGGATAGATTTATTAAACCATAAAAATTTTCCTAAAGAAGAAATGCCCATTCCGCCACTTGGTAATTAGGGTTATACATGTATACGAGTAAAAAAATTTTATTTTATAAAAATCGCTTTTTTTAAACCACATTTTTTTACATTTTCTACGAAACAATAAAAGATGTTTGCTTAATATGGCACGCTCATTGTCTTTCGCCATTACGTTATTACGAAGACATGCTACGTCTTCATGATCCTCAGGCACACAATTATAATTTCCCGTTAGCTAAACTGGCAAGTATTTTTTAATTAATGCTTTTTAATTCTATTTGAAATTTGTAAGAGTAGTAATTAAATTTCCTTTCATAGCATGAGATTTGGGGACAAAATTCAGGGCATCTTGACGAATATTCACAACAGATTTGGCATGAATACACAAAGAAACCTTGGGTTCTTGAACTAAATAATGATTCACCATTTGATTTTAAGTGCCCGCTATGCAACCAAATAGATCAAATTTCACCGTGAGTTTAATGTCTTTTTCTATATGCTGACTAATAGTATTGCACTAAAATCTTAACGTTAAATTAAGGGATACTTATGTAAAAATCATGCGCACAAATAATTATGATGTAAAATGTAAGCATTGCGGCAAACAATATAAAAGTGAGTTTGTGAGCGTCTCTCGATTCGTCGAAGATATTCTCGCGTACAGAAATGACCCAAAGAAATTAATAGGGTAAATTCATTATTATAAAGTTAAGTTACATTAAATTCAATATTTAAAGTATCTCTTATTCAAAAGGGGCACGATTGTTGATTTGAAAAGCGGCACCGTCAGTAAGCTTAATGCAGAGAAAGATTGCAATCTGCTCTTTTCTAGCCCAGGAATTACCTTATCCACATCTACGGTCTATACTTGGAGCGAAATAAATACAGAAGTCAAAAAACATGCAGATAGCCTTAAAAGCAGTCGTAAATTGAAAGACGTACGAAATGAGATAATTGAACGAATAATTTTCGCATATATGGATATTCCGGCACCATTCTCTATTGATCTTGTCAGTGCAGTTAAACGTCAGCGAAACTTTACAAACAAGGCGGTCAATAATTCTTGGATCAATTGCATGACTGTTCAATCAAATGCAATCGAACGTTATCATAAATTTATAAATTTACAAAAGGATTACACGGGAACTCTATTTGTTCCGACCCTCGATATTGATCTTGCATGGCATACGCACGTGCTTCATCCGTCACTCTATCGAAATTTTACTAACAAACATATGGGACGAATGATTAATCATGATGATACATTGGCAAAAAAAACGTTGAATGA